AAAAGGAGAAATGCTGAAATCTTTATTGCTATAGGAGAATTTCTATGCCTAAGTGAAACTGAGAATAACAAGATTCACTTGGCAGAATCAGAGCTAACTTGTACAGAAACCTGTCTCAGATGCACTAGCCAGCTCTGTACATGGTGATGGCTGCACATCAATTGCACCGCCACTGACGGATCGGCATTTCCATGGCCCAATTGACGCACTGCCATAGAGCTTTACATTTGAGAGGCATATGTTACTGAAAACTGAGTTCCTGATGCCCCGTATCAGCCCAGCTTGCCGGATGTTCTGACCCCAAACATTCTTAATCATCACGCTGTTGACAACAGGAAGCACACTTGGGTTGTAGGATGCATCAGGGTGGCCCCCAACATCACCGGCGATCCTCAAACCGTACCGAGCTCCATTCAAGGTCACTTCAGAGACGGTGATGTTCCGGATGAATCCTCCCCTTCCTGAGTTGGTCTTGATATGGATCCCAACACCCATGCTGAAGAGATTCAGGTGTTCGACAAGGACGTTCTCCACGCCACCAGAGGTCTCGCTTCCAACCGCAAAGCCAGCAAATGGCCCGAACCCGGTTATCCTCCGGATGGTGATGCCGGAGCTTGGACGGCCAAAAGCAATGCCGTACTCATCCCAGCCACTCTTGATGGAAATCAGGTCGTCACCCGCGGAAATGTAGGAGTCCTCGATGCAGACATTGCTGCTTGAATCTGCAGGTGCACGATAATGCAGATGTAACTTCATTAATTGTCAGGAATACACAAATTTTGCTCAGATTTATTTACAAAGCAAGTGAAGCGTCTATTACCTAGATCGATTCCATCAGTGTTTGGGGAGTCATGTGGTGCCAACACAGTAACGTTTGCTATCACTACATTGCTGCAAACACACACATGAAGTGAAGTAACGCTCATTTAGAAGGGCTGTGGTTACCCTTTTAACTGTCTGGCTGACATTGGGATCAACATCAATGTTCAGTTAACCAGATGTCTGTAAGTTGTGTATCGACTTTCATGCTAATTTTATTGCTTAATTAATGTTTGTTCCTGAAACTACGCTGTAGCCTGTCAAGGCGGTAGCTGAAGCCCTGCTGTGGAACAGGAACAGGCAAAAACAAGCTATAGCAGTTGGACTGAAAAATGTGGCTCCCCTCCCTCTTTGTAACGACAGGCGATCCATTCGCAGTGCTCACCTGCAGTAAACCGGGTGGATGTTCCAAAACGGCGAGTCCTGGAAGACGACGTTGGAGACGACGACGTCGGTGGAGTACATGAGCTCCAGCAGGTGCGGCCTCGTGAAGGGCAGCGTGCGCTTCTTCCACATGTCCCACCACACGCTGCCTTGACCGTCAATGGTGCCGTTATCACCTGTCCCAGAACGATGAACTTTCAGCAAGTGATGGAGTGGCAGGGTGGCAGTGTATGGAAGAACCTGTGATGAAGACGTCTTGGAGACCATGGCCGTGGATCAAGCTCATGTATCTCCCGCCAGGCAGCTCGCGTCCTCTCCCGTACGACGGCAGCGGGTCGATGAGCGGCCAGCTCGACGTGTCCTGCTCCACACAGGCTTAGCTCGATGGTAGCAAGGCATGGCGAAGAAGAAGAAGAAGAAGCAATGGCCGTACCTGGGTGGCCCGGATGACGGCGCCGCGGGCGAGGAAGAGCGTCATGTGGGAGGTGAGGTTGAAGGGGCCCGTGAGCCACACCCCGGGCGGCACGTACAGCAGCGTGCCGCCCCGCGCGCCCCGGCGGCGCTCGATGCTCGCCACGGCGCGCGCGAACGCGCCCGTGTTGAGCGTCTGCCCGTCGCCGCGCCCGCCGAAGCTGGCCACGGACATCCACGCCCCGCGCCGCGGCGCCGGCCCCGACCAGCACGTCTCCTGCGCCCCCGCCGACGACGGCAGCAGCAGCAGCAGCAACGCCGTGAGCAGGCGCAGCGCCGGCGGCATCCCTCTTTCTTGGCGCAGGCGCGCTAGTGGCTTGGCTTGTTGCGGTGGCGGTGAAGCGGGGAGGAAGGAGGCGACGAGCAGGAGAGTACGAGGCGCAAAAGCTGCTGCGTCCCTGCTTCTGGGTGGATGTAAATGCGGTTGTTTTGCCTGCATCTGCAATTGACAAGCTCACAGCGCCATGGATTGGGTCTGGGTTGGTCCCCTGACCCCTGTGCTTGAGGATGGCAGTGGCAGTGGCAGTGGAACACTGGTCACTGGCACGCCAGCGTCGGCAGACGAAGAGAGCCTGTGTGTGTGAGCTGGCGTCGGCCCCGGCTTGTGTAGGATCCAGAGGACAGAGCACAGTCGTCGTCCATTCCCAGTTCCAGAATAAGGCCTGGTTTAAATTTAGGGGGTAAAATTTTTGGGTGTTTTCACGTGTCACGTGGAGACGTTGTATGGGGTATTCGAATACTAGTAAAAAATAAATTACAAAATCTGATAGTAATTCGCGAGACGAATTTATTAAGCCTAATTAATCTGTCACTAGCATATGTGTTAATGTAGCACCATATTATCAAATCATGGATTAATTAGGCCTAAAAGATTCGTCTCACAGATTAATCGTAAACTGTATAATTAGTTATTTTTTAGTCTATATTTAATACACTATGTATGTGTCCAAATATTTAATGGGATAGGAAATAAACTCTCTATCTGTCTCACGTTAATAGTAGACCAAAATAACTTCACCTCTAGCTTTTTTTAGTTTGATGACTAAATTGTATATAAAATATTATCAACATTAATATCTTTTAATATATTTATTATAAAAATCATTATTAATTTAATATACCTATTAGACATCATAAATGTTAGTATATTTTGCATTTATTTGTTTTTTTAAAAATGACTTCTTGAAAAAAGCAAAATGTGTAGTTGTAGTTATTATGGGTCGGATTTACATCCCGCGGGAGTAGTATGCGTTATTTTTTGTGTGCATTCACGTCTTTTACAGTTTATTTACAGTACCAGTTTTCTTTCTGTGCAAGTGCAGACGTGCAGTGATGGTACAAATAAATACAGACGGTACCGCGTACAATGGTAGACGTGGTCCAAATACGAAGCCAAACCATCGTGCTCCAACGGCCATTGCTGCCATGATTCAAGCGCCGTTACTGAAACCAAATCCGTCGTGCTGCTGCATGTAGTTGTACGGGCCCGCTCAGATGGTTGTTCTGCTAAGCAAGGGGATTAAGGTCACCTTACTTGCATGGTTGCATGCAGCACCTGCTGCTCCCCGCCATGTGCCCAACAAGAAGTAGCCCGATCATTTATGGTCTTAATTTTTAAACCAACTACCATAATATATTTAACTCTGTTGTATACAATGTTCATGCTCTAAATCATCGTTTAGAAAGTTATTTATATAAAAATCATTTTCTATCCCTTTCTATATCCAATAACTTCTCTATATCTTATGTGCGCTAGAGAGTCATCCATGTTCTCTATATTTAGAGATCTAATTAAAGAAGCTATTGGAGATTGTGTTTTCACCAAAATCTTTAATCCTATCAATTAGTTAGAATATAGAGGCTCTTCAAGTTGCTCCAAGTCATTTTATCTTTCAAGTTACATAATTTTTGTTATGCATATAGATATGTATTATGTTTAGATATATAAAAAATGACTTAGAATTTAGAATTGATGAAGTATTTAACTAAATATTCCAGCATGCTGCCACAAGTTCTCAAGGATGCTAGCACAGAGCAGAAGAATGTTTTGATCTCGCCAAGCGCCCGCAGTTCCTCGCCATTCAACCGTAAAGAGACTCACCGGTAAGTGAGATAGTTCCTCAGTTCCTCTGCAGTCAACTCACCTTGTTCACTTGATTGTTTCTGTGGCTTATAAGTCGATTGATACTGTTTTATTATGAGAAAAAAATACTGTATCATAACCGATAAGCATGTCTGATACGATCGACGGACACTGGTTGGTGAGGCTGATGAGCATCAAGCCCACCTGCTCGTAGCGAAGTCTCTCTACAGTGAACTACTGAGAATGCTTAGGTACACCGTGCACGGATGCCCACATTCATATCTGTGGGTGCCCGTCGATCCCTACTCCCTCCCTAGCCATGAAAATCAGTAGGTTAACGAACCATGTGCCCCTATTACTGAAACGCTGTAGCCTGCAACCTGCTGCATCATCGCAGCTGCAGATCTCTGAGAGGCTTTTGGGCAGTGACCACCACCACGTTTTTACTGAACCTTCGTCCTTGGCTGTGCAAGGACTTTGATCTGTAAAGGCAGAAACATGCAGCGCCGTGGAGGTATAATAATAATGGACATGGTGATGATGATGCGGCGGGCAGGCCGCGTACTGGTACTGCTTCATCACCACAGGATGCCATGTACTCCCTCAACAAAAGAATATTATTATAGGATCCGTACCGGTCAAGTTTGCTCAAGTTTGATTAAATTTACAGTAACTATTATTAATATTTGTCTTCAAATAAATTTATTATAAAAATATATTTTATAACTAATCTAATAATATCAATTTTATGTCATCAATGTTAATACTTTTTTATATAATTTTAACTAAAGTACAAACTATTTAACTTCTCGAAAAGAAGAATTGCATTCTTTTTGATCGTGCACTGCACATCCTACGGATCTTGCTCTGCAGAGCAACATGATGGTTCTTAAGCCCAGCGGCCCTGCCCCAGTAGCAATCGGCTGGATTGGATAGAAGATCGGTCCGGGGGCATCCCAAAATGGACCCAGCATTTAGTAACTCTCATCGATACAACAGCAACTACAAGTCTACAGCAAGGCCGTATAGGATGATGAACAGACGATAAACATGCAAATGGGCAGCACCGCCACCGGTAACCCTACTGACCGGAGAACCAAAATTAAGGGCATATATAGACAGGCAACGAACATCAACTCCTTTTCTTAAGTACCAGCCGCGGGGGCCACCATGGATGGGACCAACAAAATCCGGCTCAAGGTAAAAGGACCCCAACAACACGTATAACCAACAACAAATGGAATCAACTCTTGTCGCCTGGAGGCGAGGAGGGGGAATCGCCGCTGCCGCCGCCACTGATGCCCGGCTTGTCATGCTGGAACTTCACCACGATGCACGTGATGTTATCGCCGCTCCCGCGGGAGAATGCGGTCTCTGTCAGCTTCCGGGCTGCTGCCTCGGGTTCCTCCTCCATCTTCACAAGTGAAACCGCGTCCTGCGCGAACAAGATGAGACGGTCAGTCAAGTATCATAAGAAGGATTGAATGCACCATTAGCAAGACGCCCAGTAAAGGAAGCTCTAGATATTTTTTCCTGACACGAGAAACCCGAATTTCATTTACAGCAAGGATCGTCACAGCAGTACATTCAAACAATACTAACGCACACAATACCAACACCTCTGAGCACCAAGGGCTCTGCAGGTGAGGCAACACCGCAAAACCACCAAAAAAGCTACACGCTTAAACCACCTCAACATACAACACACTCAGATATCAATGCCAGCAGTTGAAAACAAGCTCAGATTCTATTGTTCTGAAAACACACTAAGATACCTACAATTTTGTTTCTACAATGTGCAAACGATTACAGCCAAGCCAAAAAAAATTCCACTCAAACATGAGGGCGCTTTTTATATCTGAAAAAATTCCACTCAAACAATTTTTCGAACGATTAAAGGGGCGTACCCAGTGCGGAGAGCTCCCGCTCTGTGCGGGGTCTGGGGAAGGGTGTCAGTGGCAAGCCTTACCCTCGCCTGTGCAATGCGAGGAGACCGCGACTCGAACCCGGGACCTTCCGGTCACAGGCGGTAAGACTCTACCGCTTGCACCAAGCCCGCCCTTCAATTTTTCAAACGATTACAGCATAATATTTGAAAGATGTCCAATAAAATCCAATCAAATTTATGCGCTTTTTATACAATAGTAGTTATTCTAGCCAATACAACAAAGAATCACTCTAATTGCCAAGAATTTGCATAACTTTTGTGCCTCTAGATATTATGCAAAATGGAGGTAGTAGAACATATAGATTGGTTGCTATAAATGCTTAAAATGCAGCGGGAAAAGAGGACAAAAGGAGGGAAGGGGGGGGGTTTAGGTGTTCATGGAGAGACAATGAAACCCTTTGCTTATCAGGACATCACACACAATTACAATAATCTATAATTTTATATTTCAGGCCATAGATCCATCTAAGCTCCAAAGGCCCAACAAAAGTTAGAATTACTCCACTACGCAGATGCTCACGAAGAAAGCACAAAAGAAGTGATATCCACGCCTCTAAATAGGTCAGAGATGTATATCACAAACTAACCTCATTCGGAACCACATCCCACAGCCCATCACTAGCTATAATTAGGAACTCCAACTCATCATTTATTTCTTGTTCCTGACCCAAAAAAAAAGTGAACAGATTAGGCCTACAATGCCACAGATTACATATAAGACATGAAACATCAGTATTAAAATAAGGTGCAGATCAAGTTACCTGAATCTCAGGGTCTGCAATAACAAATTGTTTTAAGAGACGGTTGCCAAATGCCCGAGACATCGCAAGTACCCCACCTACCCTCCAAGTTCCTGTAGAAGTCAACTTGCCACTATGAGCAACAAGAATACAAGATCATGCCAAGGATCGTTTTGTTGAATCATGAAACATGTAAGTGTACTTGGTGTGGTTAGTGTAGACCTTACCAGCCCACATAACTATCCCACCAGCACTCTCAATTCGTTTTCTCTCATCACTTCTGTTCGGCTTGTGATCTTCAGAGAGCGCAATAGCTGTGAAAAGGAGGCAACACGATGTTTTACAAACAGTTCAACATACATCTGGATTATAGACAAGACCTGCCACAGCAATACAGATATCCCAAGGATACAGGAAGAGAAATAATGGTGCCCATGATACCATTAAGAATTACTCGCACCATTTTGAGTTTATATCCATATTATGCTGTGTGAAATAACTTGATACATGCCCAACAAGTGATTCACTTAGAAACCGAACACTGAATTGGTCAGAGCAATAATATTTTACTATAAATACAGTATTCTTCACAAAAATTACGTTCTCAAAAACTAATTCGAGCAAAAATCCATCCGCCCTAAGGCATGTAATTTTGATTTCATTTGTAATGTTTTATTGAAGGTGACATACTGAGCAACATGTTTCTCACAAATTTTTCAACTTTTTACACAACGACCAGCTTAGAAAACTTTATAAATCATAATGTAGTATCATATCAATCAGCATAAACAAAGTCCGTAGTCACTAATGGTACTAAATATGCAATGATTCATCTCTTAAATTTCTGATATAGAAGACTCTACATGCTGACAAACTGGAAACAGACAGCAATCACAAATACTCAATGAACCAAATCATTTTCATCTAAGTGGCAGATAATTTCCAAATAAAAGCACCTTTGCCAGCCTTTGATATAACAGCCCTTGAGTCTCCAACATTTGCCACGTAAAGATGGTCACCAACCATCACTGCTGTTGATGCCGTTGACCCATCATCTCTATAAGTATTCATTTCAGCATCCAAAAACTCTGAATCGGTCTTCCTATATGTTTCACCTGCAGGTTGCCATTAATCAGGTGACGACTGGGGGACTTAACGGTCAATGATAACTGTAAATGCTACGTGCAATATCATACTTATTGCTAATTTTGTATTTGTCATGAACTCCGGATGTTTCATGAGGTTCTCAAACAAGTGCTCCTTCAAATACTCAGCAGCACGTGAACCGCCATGACCTGCGAGAATATAAATGCTTTAGATAGATGCACTGAGAGACAACAGGAAGTCTAGAAGAACAAATCTCTAACCATCAAAAATTCCGAAGAGATTTATTTGTTTATCATCAATTTTAGATGATTTTATATCATAGAAATCTTCCATGCTTGCCCTTCTTCCTCTAAAACTTGAATATCCACAATTCAGCATTCCATCAACACTGCAAATCAGTCAAACACGAACAAGACTTATTGTCAATATATTATTGACAAAAAATCGCACATATCTATCATGAAATCACTAATAGGTTCTGATATATAAAAACTAGCTAGTAATTATCAACAAATGGCTCCTCCTCGAACAGAAAAGCAAACTATACATATCATTGTGTCTTATTGATAGAACGGACAAAATTGTATGAGCAACTTGATACTAAGAACTGTCATTTATTTCTTACATACTTAGTTGAGAAATTCATATTCGAAACAACAATAAGGTCAGGATTTAGACAGAGGCATTTGTCATGATTAATACAGAATCTGAAAACAATAATGACTTACTAAGAACTAGTTTCTAATTTGTATTTTGTTGTCATGCATGTAACGTAAGATGTTCACCCTCATGATGTCTTAATTAATTTGCCTTTGTTAAGTCAGAAATCTCTTGAGCATGTTGTACTATGACAAACGTCAAAATCTCATAGACACGACATCAATCAAGCACATGGTGACATGGATGGTGTACCAGCATCTCAGGGATACAGTATAAACAAAATCATGTATTAGCACCACATCTATTTTTTTACCTCAACATATGAAAAGAGTGGTCGAGCTAGCATTTTAGATCAATCTGTAGTTTGACTTTTGAAGAAAAAAGTGATGCATCAAATTCATGATGTGCTACACAACGAGCATAGTTTTAGTATGATATGCAGCAGTTTCCGCATTTGATTTTGTTCCTGATGACATAATGTGCTATGAACTAACTAGCAGTTAGCAGAACTTTAATACATTATGCTTGTCAACAATTATTTTGGGTGCTGCTTTCTAATAGTGGCTCAAATTACAATTTGGGAGCTCTCTCAAAATCTTCTGTAAGCTTGAGGTCATGCTCTACTGGAACTATGTGCAACTGTAAATATGGAAACCGATGTGATATTTATGCTTATAAGGACCCACAAGCCACGTTGGGTGCATTTTTAGTGACGATTGCTGCCCTTTCATATAACCATTTAAAACAAGAAACTATGGATTACTAATTTAGAAGTGGTGTATATTACAGTTAAAGCTATTTTCTTATTTGCATGGCACCATATTAGAATTAGCATCCGTTATGGTGGAATTTGTTAGCACACCAGCTCATAAAAACTAAAATTAAACAAGGATAACCACCAAGCTACCATTCTAAATACAGTTCTGGATAAGATGGTTCTCAGGAAGCTACGTGGAGAATGCGCATTCGACTACTATCTGAAACGCTAAAAGCGCCAACATCTATTTCATTTAGTGTATTATAGACTATTTGATCTTGTCCGCATGCAAGCTACATGGCAGATCTAAATTAAATGAACCAATGAGACCGCCAATAGAACCGATCGTCTGAGACGTCAGCTGCAAAGAAGGGCATTGGGCAGCAAACGTTACCTCTTCCATCCTCCGCTCATGTAGCCGACCTCATCCACCCTCTCCCGCTCCTTCTGCCTTTCCCTCTCCTTGTCCCTCTTCTCCTTCTCCGCCCTCTCCCCATCCTGATCCATCTCCCTGGGTGCCTCCACAGCTAGCACGGCAGAAGCAGGAGGAGGAGGAGGAGAGGCAGCCTCCTGCTTCGTCTGCCCTCTTGCCACAGCGACGGATGAGACCTCGTCCTCCTCGTCCGGATGGGCCTCCAACTCAGTGCCCCCCACAGCGACGGCAGGCTCTGGCGACACCTCCATTTCTCCGTCCTTCACCTCCATTTCGCCGCCCTCCACCTCCACCTCCACCTCCATCTCCTGCACCCCTGCCGCCGGCACGGACGACACCTCCACTTCAGCGCCCCGCATCGCCGTCTCCGCGGACAAGGCCTGCTCCGCCTCTGCATCCACTAACTCCTCCTCTTCCACCTCGCTGGCTCCCTCCTCCTCTTCCTCTTCCTCCTCCTGCTCCTCGCCTTCCGGCACGGCGTGAGCAGGCGGCACCCCTCCGGGCTCCACCATCATCTTCCCCCCGGCACGGAACCGGCGGTGCTTCAGGGGGTGACGCACGCCGAGGCGCTTGTCGTGCGGCGTCGGCCTCGCGGAGGGCCTCGCGCTGACCACCACCACCACCGGCGCGGGAGACGCCTCCGACGCCGCCACCACCGATGCCGCCGACGCAGTGCTCGCCGCCGCGGTCTCCTGGTCCTGCTCCTGGTCCTTCACGGCACCATCGCAAACCATCTAACTCGCGGCGGGCACAGACCCTAGCAGCATGAGCATGAGCAGCAGCAGCAGCATCAGATGCGAGCGCGCACGGCGCGCCGGGGCCAATGGGGGGACGGGGGCTCACCTGCGGGATCCAATCGGGCGGGTGCGGAGGCGACCGGATCGGGAAGGCGGTGGATCTGCGTGCGATGGCCCTGGATTTGAGTGGGAGGTGTGGGGCGGTGGGTGTGAGCTGGAGGGGAAGGAGGGGAGTGATCGGGGGAGGGAGAGGGGTGAGGTGAGAGGTGAGAGATCGGATGAAGCCTGCCGCTGGCGCTCCTCCTGAGAGAAGAAGAGGAGAAGACAGAAGCGCCCAGCACCACCTCCCACCCTTCTCTTCTTTTCTAATAAATATTATATTATAATAAAATAGATTATATATATATTATAATACGTATTAATATAATTATTATAATCGTTTTGTTTGATCTAACTATTTATTTATTTTCTGCTTTTTTATATGTGCGTACGTGGCTCGAGGCGTGAGCACCTGGGACTCGGGCGACGGGTGGGGTGTGGGTAACTCGGGACTGACGTGTGGGACTGTGAGCCATGGGGTCCAGATGTAAGAGACACAGGAGTACTGCGTTTGGTTGGGAGCGTCAGGGCGGCGTGGCCGGGGTTTGCCCACGGGATCCGCGGCGCCTGCTGGAGGCGTCAAGGCGTAAAATGTGTGTTTGTCAAAAAAAAAAAAAAACTCGGTGATTTGTGTGGGCCGGGATTTACGTATGAGCCGTACATCAGGAATGTCGAGAGACGGCCCAACTGCACAAGGTACTGTTGCGTCATGCCATGCGGTCAGCCTGTCCCTGTCAGTTTCTGCCCATTTTCTTTCTTATACGAAACAAAACATGGTGCCATAGGAATTCTGCAAAAGTTGTAAACTTCCTTAAAAATAAATGCCTATAAGTTTTCAAAAACTACGAAACATATATAGTGCACCTGTATATGTTCACCATCATACCAATTAAGTTCATTAACTAACTAATTCATTTTTCACTCAGGGGCAAAATCGTTATTTGACCCTTGATTTAGCAAGTTAAATCCCCAAACTAACGGAAGTCAAAGTAACTAAAGATCGCTTTAGGACCAAATAGGTAAGTTCAAAAATAAAAAGGCCAACAAAGTAGGCCAAACTTTTTTCTAGGACAAAATAACTCTCTCTTTCTTTTTTTTTTGAAACGAAATAATTCTCTCTTTCAGAATTGCAATGAATTGGTTGCGCCTGATATTTCCCTTATGAATTCGAGGATAAATTGCTACCTACCTGTGTTCGGCTCAAAATATAAGAGCATGAATTATAGAAAAGTATTGCAGAAAAATGTTTTTCATTGAAAAATGTAAACGGGTGTCAACATGATCTTAAAACTGACTGGGAGATTGATCTGGCACATCACATGTGCTATCTCGTAAATCCCTGTTTTCTAGTAGCCTTTAACACTTTTCTCCTCTACTAGTCCTCTGATGATTCTATAAATATTTTGAACTGATGTAGTTTAACAAAGTTATGCAACTTTCATATCAAGGAATATTTATTTAGACAACCAAGATTTATGGCCTGTTTGATTCGAGGGATTAAAGTTTAGTCCCTGTCACATCGGATGTTTGACACTAATTTAGAGTATTAAACATAGATTAATTATAAAACTAATTGCATAAATTAAAACTAATTTGCGAGACGAATCTATGAAGCCTAATTAGTGCATGATTTGACAATGTGGTGCTACAGTAATATATGTGCTAATGATAGATTGATTAGGCTTAATAGATTCATCTCCTCTCCATCTATGCAATTTAATTTTATAATTAGCTCATGTTTAGTCCTCCTAATTAGTATCAAACATCTAATGTGCTTTAGTCCCTACATCTAAACACCTGATTTTGATCCAGAGTCAAGTGCGTCAGGGTTTCTCTGAACTTATTCATGGTGTCATCTAGGTACTGGAATTACTCCCCTGTTCTAAATCATAATTCACTTATTCATGGTGTCATCTAGGTACTGGAATTACTCCCCTGTTCTAAATCATAATTCACTTTGACTTTGTTTGAAATCAAATTTCTCTAGTTTGAGCGAGCTACCTTCCGTTACTAATCCTGAGTAAATAGAACAGCGAGAACTAAGAAATTATACCATTCTCTCCACGGACAGCAAATAGGAACGATCACGTCCACCAAAAAAGAAGTTAATATTAGTTTCAGATTGCTTTACAGTCAGAGAGTTTTCAAGCTGGAACTGAAACATCATCAGAAAACAAAAGCCCCAAGAGTTTGGTGAACTGAAAAATGAACTCTGACCACCTTCCTGTTTCTGAAACAGCACAGTAGCACAGAAGCCATCCTTTCCCTAGAATCAGGCCACTTAAAGGGCCCTTTGAAACGCAGGAATTTCACAAGGAAGGAACGGGAAAAATTCCCACGTTCCAAAGGGGGCCTAACACTGCAGCCATTTTTCTTTCCTTCAGACTGTAAAGAACATCAGCCTGACAGCGTTCCCCTTCATAAACAGCAACAATCCATATTTCAGGAGAAAATGTGCTAGCATGTCAGTAAACTTTAAATCGAGAGGGAGTATATACCGAATATTACCCTTTCAAACCTGATGGGGAGCTTTTTAAAATCGCCAAAACCAACTGAGTAAATGTTCTAGAAGTTATACCAGATACATTGAAGAAAATGCTCTACGTTCAGTCAGGGACTCGGGGTAGAACTCAACAACATTATGAAGCACCAACATTCAGTTTCTGAACACGAAATTTGCTGGCAAAGGCCATTCCCAGCATTCAAGGGGAAAAGAATCTGTAATTCCTTTTCACCTTGTTTCCACAGGCTTTCCACCAGGAATGGTCCTAAAATCCATTGCTATATCCAGTCAACAAAAATTCTCCACCCCACCATGGTTATCGTCAAATCCAAACAGGTTCAGAGAATGGGAGCTCAAGTTACAGATTGATAACAAATTGCTAGAAAAAGTTACTGTAAGCTTTTCACTGAAGCAGAGAAGGCCGATTTGTGGTTCTCATTGTCCCATTCCAGCGCATTCCACCACCACTGTGCGCATTGGAGTTCTCTCAGGGATCCTGCCACCAGCTTGAGCTTCTTGAGCTTATCGCATCTAACGACTTTGAGTTTCTCCAGATGTGGGAAATCCATTGTAATATTTTCTGGGCTTATACTCCTCATCCTTGCCAAGTTTTCCAGCTCTAATTCCTTAAGGTTTGGGAAGATAGTCTTGATAATGGGTTGTTGGCTTGACGCTCCCTCACCCGCCATCCTTATATCTTCGCTGAAGTATACAAGATGTTCAAGACCGTTGCAGGATGAAATTTTCAAGGAGCATAATTGCTCGAGAGTGCCACACTGCCAGACAAGCTTCACCTTAGGGAGGTCATGAAGGATGATAGTTTGGAGAGAAGGCAGAAGTGCCACTGGCTTGGCGCGCTCTAAGCTCTTTAGTCTGATAGCGTTCATTTTCTTGGTCAAGGTAAGGGAACCAAACCAATTGTCAATGTCCACTGGTACATTTGGCACATCTATACGTCTCATACCGATAACCGAATCAGATGAACAGAGCTGCTCGTAGCTGTATTCACCTCCCGCAACGAGCACGTCCCCCAGATTGCAACAGCCAGTAATGTTGATGCGCTTCAATTTATTCATGTATCTCCAGAGGCTCGAAGGTGAAAACTGTAGGGTCTCCAATTCACTGCAGTCCTTTATGTGCAGATTCCGCAATCGCTCTGCAAGATAGGGAGACAGTGACAGCTTCTCCAGAGAGCTGCGCGTTTGCACAGCTATATCAAGTATATGCAGATTTTTCAAGCTCTCTAGTTCACGAAGATTGACGCCTTGCCCTTGCTCGGGTTGCATCTTGATTTTTTTTCTTGAGCTACTTGGTTCAACCTCACGGTTGTCGACGTCGATCCAGCTGCTGTGGCAGTGATCCATACATAGGACCTGCAAAGCAGTAAGTAGGTTGAGCACACCCACAGCAACACTCTCGATGTGTACATTGGACAGCAGAAGGAACCTCAAATTCACCAGAGCCCCAATCCCATCTGGAAGGGAATGGATAGATGTGTCGTTGAGACAAAGATACTGCAGGGTGACAAGCAGTTTGATTTCGGATGGCAATGTGGTAAGCTGAGTACGTGACAGGTCTAGCAATCTGAGACAAGGCATGAAGCTAAAGAAACCGTGGCATATTCTCTCTAGAAACCGGTTGCTCTGAAGAAGCAACGTTTTCAGAATGGAGCACGTTGGTGTTTCATTCAGCTCGCGGATATCAGTGCGCGTCAACGATATCCTCTCTGCGCTGCTCCATCTCTTGGCCGGGGGTGCTGCACTTGTATGAGGACCTGTTCGGACTAGCCATTTGTTCTCCATCTTGCCACGATCTGTAGCTTCCCATAAGGCCATGGCGCGAACCATGGGGTGCATCTTAACATGGTAGTCACCGGCTGCTTCTAGTAGAGAGGAGGTCACCAGAACGCCAAGCATGTAATGGCCTTTGTTGTAGAGATTATCCATGTCATCGGTTGTAAAATCACTCACAAATCCTTCTGCTATCAAGCGCTCCACAAGTGATTCCTTGAGCAACTCTCCCGTGAACAGGGAGCAATACAGGACGCAGCCCCTGAGGTCATCGTTCCACAGGTTGTCGTAGCTCCTCTTCAAGCTGGTGAGGAGGCTGTCCTTGAAGCACTCGAGCTGCCATGGCGCCAGATTGAGAAGTGCTTTGCAATGATCCCACTCCTGCGTCAACCTCTTGCACACCATGGCTCGTGCAACCGTCGTGAGCGCAAGTGGCAGGCCACCACACATTGACACCATGTCCTTAGCCAGAGGTCTGGTCTCCCTGCTCAGCACGTTGCCCACCTTGCGCTGGAACAGCTCCCAAGAGTCGCCGCCATTCAGGCACTCCACCTTGATCTTCGCCGCCACTTACATCTGGTCGCACAGTTGCTCGAGACGCGTCGTGAGCAGAACCTTGCTCTTGCCCTGGCAGCCGGGGACAGGGACCCCGAGCTCATCGAGGTTCAGGGGCTTCCACACGTCGTCCAGGAGGAGCACGAAGTTCCACTTGTGGAGGTAGGTGAAGAGCGCGAGTGCCTTCTCCTTGGTGGTCCTGTCGTCGTCCCACGGGAGACCCAGGCGACCCATGATAGCCCTCTGGACCGCGGCCGCACTGTAGTCCTCGGTGACCTCCACATAGATGACGAGGTCTATGCCCATGGACACCGCGACCGCCGAGAGGAAGGTGTTGTTGAAGTGGCGCAGCAGCGTGGTCTTGCCGACGCCCGGCATGCCGTAGATGCCGATGACGCTCCCGGCATCCTCCAGGAAAGCATCGCGGAGCCGCGCCAGAAGGGGATCCGGGCTAATCAACGGGGTCGTCGTCACCGGGAGCACCTCCGTGCGGATGAACACGGGCGCGGCTAGCCTCTCAAAGGTGGATCCTTGCTCGAGCAAGCTGACGACTTTCGCCCGCGCATCGGCGGCCCGCTTGCCCAGGCGGTAGTACGCCCGCGGGGCTCGCCACCACCCGCCGACGGCGCCCTGCTCCCTCTGCAGGTCCGCGACGATCTCATCCGCACGAGGCAGCAGCGACGCCACGTCGTCCTGCCACTGGCTTACCAGGTTGGTCACTTCCATCCCCTTCCTCTCCGCCAAGCTCACTTCCTTGCGCACGTCGTCGCGCTTGCTCTTCAACCACCTGGCCTCGGCCCGGAGCTGGCCGACGTGGTACTCGCAGCGCACGCAGTAGCCGGGCCTGGGAACGAGGGATGGAAAAAACTGGAACACGTTGCCGATTAGGGAGATTAGGAACTCCATCGTGGAGATGATTTGATGGACAGCGATACTGGTAGCAGGATTGAGCAAAAGAAGCACCACAGCTCATAGATAGGAGGACTTGCTGAATGGAGGCAGAGAAAGAGGGCTAGATCTAGACAACGTCAACGGTCAACGGATTCCTGTGGAGTGGTCGTCTTTTCCTATGAACCAGCAACTCGATTGCTCCGTCCTGATTTAGGAACTGTTTGATAGGAGAGCTCATTGTAAACTAGCTAACAAATAATTTTAGTGTATCTTAGAAGAGCAAGCAGGTGGATTAACTTTTTAGTCAAAATCAACTACTCCCTCCGTTCCAAAATGGATGTATCAAAAAAAAAAAAACAACTTATAAATTGAAACGGTTTAATCAACTAGGTGTTTATCCAAATAGACCCTTAGATCATGTTTAAAATCCACAATATATGTATTATTAGTTTAAGTAGGCACTACATATAGAAACTGCTTCTAAATTATAAGTCGTTTTGACTTTTGTGATATCAAAATCTATGAAAAAAAGTCAAAGCGATTTATAATTTAGAACGGACGAAATATGTTTCAACGAATATTTTTGATATAATAATTTTTTGTCTAGTCACGTGTTTTTTTCTCTTCATCATCCACCTATCATATTTTTTATATCTTGGTTTTTTTGTAGACATGATTTCTTATATAAGAAATAATTTCGTGCTCTCTCTCTTCTCTTAATTGCAGTGTTATATCATCTTTTTGCTTAGTTAGCATCCTAATTAATGAACATAGAAACCATATAGTTCCTTGATTGGGAGAGCCCTAATTAATAGCTAGCTAGCTAATTTTTGTTAAGGACCTGTTTGAATCAACTTACTGATAACTACTAATAGGTGTCGGCACCTATCGTTATTAGCAACCCCAAATCTATTAATGAAACTTATAGTTAGTTGGTCTAATTAGTAGTGTCGGGGACCTAATACCGGGTACCCTAGAAGGTGGAACTAATAACCACCGAACGATAAAAACTTCTGGACAAATAAGGACGCCGTAGCGTTCCTTGCTCGAACGACAGGAGTTTGGTTCCGCCTCGCCCGACGTCTTTGGGTAGCTCTACCTCGCCCGAGGGCTCGGGCTAGTCTCCGTCTCGCCCGATGCCTTTGGGATGGGCACGGTCTCACCCGAGGGTTCAGGGCTAGTCTCCGACTCGCCCGACGCCTTTGGGGCGGGCATGATCTCGCCCGAGGGCTCAGGGCTAGTCTCCATCTCGCCCGACGCCTATGGGGCGGGCTCGGTCTCGCCCGAGGGCTGAAGGATAGACAACGCCTCGCCCGACCCCGGAGGGGCGGGGTCGGTCTCGCCCAAGAGATAGGGATTGGTCCCCGTTTCGCCCGACGGCCAGGAACGAGCCTCGCCTGCTCGATATCTAAAGACTGATTTTATCTTACCTGGCAACTCCTCCCATTCCCTCATAATGATGGGTATAGGGCAAGATAAGACGTTCGGGTCAACCATGACTCCAAGGACCATACCTGCATACCGCGTAAAAAAATACCGCCAGGAACGACGGACAGTGCTTTAGACCCTTTCGGGCGCCGTAGAGCCCGAAAAGTGTTACAGGTGCGTGCTCTTCGCCCTTTAGAGTTGTAGGCGCCGCCTTCAGCTCTGAGACACGGAACCCGACGAAGATATACAACAACCGCTACGCTCCAGAAAAGGGTTCGCTATCTCCACGGACGACGGTTATTCTATCACCACGCTATGGACCCAAGGGAGCGGTGCCCGCTTCCTGACCCCTCAGGTCCACCAAGATAGAAGACCTTGGCCACGGCGCTACTCCAGACCCCGACCCTACGTCCCTCCGACGAAGACTCATAGAAACCAGAAGGCGTGCGGAGCAAGGCTGGGGGAGGCTCATAAGTCAAAACCACTGTACTACGGCCCATACCCTGCGCAGGGTAGCATTATGTAACCAACCTGACATCCTACAGAGACATCGACAATATTGTAGGCGCTTATCTTCCTTCGCACTCATCAAAATGAAGAACCAGGCCAGGTAGACGTGAGCCACAAGACTAAGTAGAGTACGCATCCTAAAGCCCTCACCCTTGTAAAAGCCAACCCCTTCCTCTATAAAAGGGGATGCGCTTCCTCCATCAAAGGGGACGGACTTTTGACCGAACAACACAAGACACACACACACACAGTCAAGCTGCTACCAAGCTCTTGACCTCCTTTCAACCCTTCCATCAGAGACTTAGGACCAGTCCCTCTCTCGATCATTTGTACCCCCTACTACGAACCGTTCACGGTGCTAATAACACAAGCAGCAAACTGGACGTAGGGACATTCGGCCCGAACCAGTATAAATCTTGTGTCCTTTAGCGCACCATCCGAGCCTAACGTGCATTACTATAAATTTACTTACCGGTGCTTATACGAAACACCGACAGTTGGCGCGCCAGGTAGGGGCTTTGCGCGTTCCAAATCAGGCCTCGGATGGCCACCCACGCAATCAGCTGGGCCCCGGGCGCACATATGCGTTTCGGCGACCTAGATTTCATCATCACACTAGGAGGAGAACTGGCGCTGACCCACACGGCCGCACAGTCTCTCTCTTCCATCAACCTCAGCCGTCTAAGGCTTGAGGGCCCGCGGGGTGACTCCCTTGAACCCCAGTCATCCAGGGAGCCCCCGCGCAGCATAACCCTATTTCTGGAAGGCCCCGTACGAAGCGCCCCGACAGCGTTTCCGTTCGGTCTCCGCAACGACGTGGCGACCGCTGGCCACCTTGTGGCACTACGCATGGTTCAACCACCTACGAACAGCGAGTTCGTAGGGGTAATCGAACATGATCCAGAGACACTCTACGGGCTCCTCGCGGAGGAACCAGAGTCGTCCTCTAGCTCTGACTCCAGCAAGGGGAGCCATCACCCTTCCCAGGAATGCTTCATGACGCAAACCCCTGAGGAGGACGTCCAAAGCGTCTCCGGAGAGGAGACAACCCCAACAGGCAACCCCGATGCCAGGATCGAGGCAGAGACAGCGGCTCCATCTCACGTAAGGATGGAGCAGCTAAGAGCACGAAAGTTGGAGATCGATGACGCCGGGCAACAGCTTGTCCGGGAGTACCGAAACATCGAGGAGGAGATCAAGCGTCGCAGAGATGGTGGGCACGCACGCGCCTCGGCCCATAATGTGCATCGGAGGATCCTCACCGATGATGGGACTCTCCCTCACTTCGCTCAGGCAAGCCAGAACATCACCGCAGCGACAGCCTTGCTGCATGGCCTTCCGGAGGCCGCGATGTCCGAGGATCGCCGCGCCCGTCGAGAAATTCGCACGTTGCTCGAGCGTGCGGCAGCGCAGCAGGCGGAGAGTTCGTTGTCTCGACGACGCGAACCCGACACCAGCCAACGCACGCCCTCGGTACATCCCGCCAAGGACGCATCCGTTCACTAGACGCCGCCAGGCAACAGGCAGTGCTCCGCTATCCCGGTACATCAACGTCTCAGCCACAACCGTGACATGCGCAGCACCATCAGCGCCCGTAGGCACACCCACGGTGACGAAAGGGAAGGAGCCCGTCGTGGCTATCATCCTCGACGAGGCGGGCGCTACGACAGTGGCGAGGATCGGAGCCCGAGCCCTAGCCTGCTAGGCCCTCGGGCCTTCGGCCGACACATCCTCAACGCTGCGTTCCCCCCGAGGTACCGACCGCCCACCAATATCCTAAAGTATTCTGGAGAATCGAACCCCGGGCTTTGGCTCGAAGACTATCGGCTTGCCTACCAAGCCGGTGGTGCGAGTGATGACAACTTCATTATTCGCAATCTCCCGCTATTCTTGGCCGATTCGGCACGAGCGTGGTTGGAGCACCTACCGTCCAACGCCATTCAAAGTTTGGCGGATCTCATGGAGATCTTTGTGGGTAACTTCCATGGCACGTACAAACATCCTGGAAACCCATGGGACCTCAAGAACAGCCGCCAGAAGGCCGATGAAACCCTCCGCGGGTACATCCAGTGCTTCTCCCAGCAGTGCAACGAGCTCCCTAATGTCGCCGACGCCGACGTGATAGGGGCCTTCCTATCCGGGACAACCTGCGAATCCCTGGTCCAAAAGCTGGGACACAGGGGCCCACGGACCACCAAGGAACTCCTGGACATTGGTTGCCTTGTTATTGAGCATTGCTAGTGAGCTTAGTTAGCTTTGTGCTTTTGCTTACTAGCATGTGTAGGAGCTCCCTTGTTACTTAAAGTACTAGTGGCATAGGTTTGTGTGACCTTGCTCCTAGAATTGTTTAGGAGAGCTCTAGCTAGCTCGGCACCTTAGTTGCTTTATTAGTATCTTTGCAAGGTGCTATAGAACATATATTGAGGGGTGTAGTATTGGCTAGACCGATAGTTGTATTTCCGCATTTGTTTCGGTTAGCCGACGTGATTAATTTTACAAAAGACTATTCACCCCCCCCCCCCCCCTCTAGTCCGCCATCTCGACCCTTCACCTATCACGAAAACCACGGATTGGGATTCCATCCAAACGTTCAGGTCTCCAGTAACACCCGACCCCAGCAAATGCAAGGGATCGGACCTTACTCGGGGGCTGGTTAAGGTACGGCTACCTCCCTTCCTTTTTTCAAACAATCTCCTCGCATCAAGACCAGCGGCAAGATTCGGGGGAACGGATTGGTAAGATCGCAAAAGATCAAACAAAACAAAATTACGAAGCAAAATTACGAAACCACGTCCAGACTCAAAAATACCGACACCTGTCCACATATTACATATAAGTTGTTCTCAAAATTATTTGACTAAGTACTCCCGCGAAGGGAGAACCATCTCTTTCAGATTATCCGCCAGGTTTTTCGCAAGAGGAGCAACCATCTTCTCCATTGCCTCCAGCTCATCATCCTCATAGGTGGGTGGGAAACCTTCGCGCATCACCTTCAGGTTGATTTCCTTCTCGTAATGGGCATGGGCGACGGTGAAGGCCTAGGTGATCCCGGCGTGAAAACCACTCTCCTCAAGCTG